GGAATAAGGCTGCACTGCCCAGAAACCTTGTGGAAAGGCTTTTGGAGTACCTCCAGGAGAGCTTCATGGAGATGTCCCTGGAGGATTTCTGCTCCATCCCCAGACCCGTTAACAGACTTTTCCAGTAGCTGTACTGGCCGCAAATGCATCCCAAGTCCTCAGGGAAAAGTAATCATTAAAAAAAAGCTTGCTTTTAAACCATGTTTTATATTTTAAAAGGTAAACTCACCTGAGGTCTCTTCCATGGGGTCATGGTCTTGGATACTGGCTTAGGAGGGTACTTCAGTCAGGCTGAGAAAAAGATCCTGGCTGTTGGGGAGAATGGAGTGCTGTGTCCGCTCCACAAGCTTGTCCTCCTCTTCCCCGTCCGCAGAATCCTCAGGTGTGGCTGATGAGATTACCCCCACCTCGGAATCCACGGGCAGAGGTGGGGTAGTGGTGGCAACCTCCCCAGGAATTGCATGCAGCTTGGTGTAGAAGCGGCATGTCCGCGGCTCAGACCCGGAGCGACAGCTTGCCTCCTTTGTTTTTTGATAGGCTTCTCTGAGCTCCTTTACTTTAACGCAGCACTCATCCGAGTCCCTATTGTGGCCTCTCTCCATCATGCCCTTGGAGAATTTTTCAAAAGTGTTGGCATTTCGTCTTTTCGAACGAAGTACTGCTAGCACTGAATCCTCTCCGCATATAGCCATCAGATCCAGTACCTCCCATACGGTCCATGCTGGTGCACTTTTTCGATTATCAGCCTCCATGGTTATCTGTGCTGATGAGCTCTCTGTGGTCACCTGTGCTCTCCACGCTGGGCAAACAGGAAATAAAATTCAAATATTCGCGGGGCTTTTCCTGTCTACCTGGCTAGTGCATCTGAATTCAGATTGCTGTCCAGAGCGGTCACAATGGTGCACTGTGGGATAGCTCCCGGAGGTCAATACCATTGAATTGCGTCCACACTAACCCTAATTCAAAATGGCAATATCGATTTCGGCGTTACTCTGCTTGTCGGGAAGGAGTACAGAAATCGATTTTAAGAGCCCTTTATTTTAAAAAAATGGCTTCGTTGTGTGGATGGGTGCAGAGTTAATTCAATTTAACGCTGCTAAATTCGAATTAAACTCATAGTGTAGACCAGGCCAAAGTCAGCTCCCACACTGCTGTCCTGGGCAACACAGTATGGGGAGGAGGTGAGCAGCCCTCAGCAGTGAAAGAACAGGTTAAAGAATATTTAGAAAAGCTGGACATGCCGAAGTCCATGGGTCCAAATCTAATGCACCTGAGGATGCTGAGGGAATTGGCTGAGGTGATTGAAGAGCCATTGGCCATTATCTTTGAAAACTTATGGCAATCAGAGGAGGTGCAGGATGACTGGAAAAAGGCAAATATAATGCCCATCTTTAAAAAAGGGAAGGAGAACCCAGGGAACTACAGACCGGTCAGCCTCACCTCAGTCCCCGGAAAAATCATGAAGCAGGTCCTCAAGGAAACCATTTTGAAGCACTTGAAGGAGAGGAAGGTGATCAGGAACAGTCAACATGGATTCACCAAGGGCAAGTCATGCCTGACCAACACTCATTGCCTACTATGATGAGATAACTGGCTCTGGGGATATGGGGAAAGCAGTGGATGTGATATATCTTGAGTTTAGCAAAGCTTCGGATATGGTCTCCCACAGTATTCTTGTCAGCAAGTTAAAGTACAGATTGGATGAATGGACTATAAGGTGGATAGAAAGCTGGCTAGATTGTCAGGCTTAACACGTAGCGATTAACAGCTCAATGTCTAGTTGGCAGCCAGTATTAAGCGGAGTGCCCAAGGAGTCAGTCCTGGGGCCACTTTTGTTCAACATATTTATTAATGAATTGGATGATGGGATAGATTGCACCCTCAGCAAGTTCACAGATGACACTAAGCTGGGGTGAGAGGCAGATACGCAGAAGGGTAGGCATAGGGTCCAGAGTGAGCTAGACACATTAGTGGATTGGGCCAAAAGAAATCTGATGAGGTTCAACAAGGACAAGTGCAGAGTCCTGCACTTAGGAAGGAAGAACCCCATGCACTGCTACAGGATGGGGACCGACTGGCTAAGCAGCAGTTCTTCAGAAAAGGACCTGGGGATTATAGTGGATGAGAAGCTGGATATGAGTCAGCAGTGTGCCCTTGTTCCCAAGAAGGCTAAGAGCATATTGGGCTGCATTAGTAGGAGCATTGCTAGCAGATCGAGGGAAATTATTATTCACATTTATTCGGCACTAGTGAAGCCACATCTGGAGTATTGCATCCAGTTTTAGGCCCCCCATTAGAGAAAGGAGGGCAACAAAAATGATTAGGGAGCTGGCACATGACTGAGGAGGAGAGGTTGAAGGAACAGGGCTTGTTTAGTCTGCAGAAGAGAAGAGTGAGGGGGGATTTGATAGCAGCCCTCAACTGCCTGAAGGGGGGGGGGGGTTCCAGAGAGGTTGGAGCTCAGTTGTTCTCAGTGGTGGCAGATGACAGAACAACGGGCAATAGTCTAAAGTTGCAAGGTGGGGAGATCTAGGTTGGATATTAGGAAAAACTTTTTCACTAAGAGGGTGGTGACGCACTGGAATGGGTTCCCTAGGAAGGTGGTGGAATCTCCATCCTCAGAGGTTTTTAAGGCCCAGCTTGACAAAGCCCTGGTTGGGATGATTTAGTTGGTGTTGGTCCTGCTTTGAGCAGGGGGTTGGACTAGATGACCTCCTGAGGTCTCTTCTAACCCTAATCTTCTATGATTCTCTCTGTGCTTCATGAAATTTTGGATCAAAATGGTAAAGACAGTTGTTCCCAATTTAATCATGGCATCCTTTAGGAGTGTGATCAATGCCACTTAACTAGGGAACAGTGTTCTAAAAATACTTTACCTGGGCCACAGGTCACCATAGCTTCCATCTCTGGGATGAAAATCAACCACCAGTACCTGCAATTTCTACCTGAGTTCTTGTCAAATCTTTGACCTTATTTGGAGTAATTTTACACTTCTCTGGTGTAGAATACTTCACCAAACACACAACATATCAGTAGTGATAGTGAGGTATATAATAATAAAAATTATTAATAATAATAATAATAATAATATATGGAGATAGCCAATCTCCTAGAACTGGAAGGGACCCCTGAAAGGTCATTGAGTCCAGCCCCCTGCCTTCACTAGCAGGACCAAGTACTGATTTTTGCCCCAGATCCCTAAGTGGCCCTCTCAAGGATTGAACTCACAACCCTGGGTTTAGCAGGCCAATGCTCAAACCACTGAGCTATCCCTCCCCCACAAAAAACCTGTCTGTAAGCAAGGACTGGCCTGCCTCCCAAGATCGGTGAGAGGCCTTGGCTACACTTGAGGATTCACAGCTCCGAGGGGAGTAGCTTGCAGCGCTGCAGGCGCTGATTACACTGGAGCTTTACAGTGCTGCACTCGCTGCGCTCAGGGGGGTGTTTTTTCACACCCCTGAGCGCAGCAAGTTGCAGCGCTGTACAGCGCCAGTGTAGCCAAGGCCAGAGTGAGGGATCATTTTCCAGGATAGGTTGTAGATCGTTGATAATGCGTGGAAGAGGTTTTAGCTGGGGGCTGTATGTGATGGCCAGTGGTGTTCTGTTATTGTCCTTGTTGGGCCTGTCCTGTAGTAGGTGATTTCTGGGTACCTATCTTGCTCTGTCAATCTGTTTCCTCACTTCCCCAGGTGGATATTGTAGTTTTACGAATGCTTGATAAAGATCTTGTAGGTGTTTGTCTCTGTCTGAGGGGTTGGAGCAAATTCGGTTGTATCTTAGGCTTGGCTGTAGACAATGGATGTGCCCTGGATGGAAGCTGGAGGCATGTAGCTAAGTATAGCGGTCAGTAGGTTTCTGGTATAGGGTGGTGTTTATGTGACCATCACTTATTTGCACTGTAGTGTCCAGGAAGTGTCTCTCTTGTGTGGACTGGTCCAAGCTGAAGGTTGATGGTGGGGTGGAAATTGTTGAAATCGAGGTGGAATTCTTCAAGGGCTTCCTTTCCGTGGGTCCATATGATGAAAATGTCATCAATGTAGCGCAAGTAGGGGAGGGGCACTAGGGGATAAGAGCTGAGGAAGCGTTGTTCTAAGTCAGCCATAAAAATGTTGGCAGACTGTGGGGCCATGCGGGTACCCATAGCAATGCCACTGACTTGAAGGTATAAGTTGTCCCCAAATCTGAAATGGTTGTGGGTGAGGACAAAGTCACAAAGCTCAGCCACCAGGCATGCTTTGGCCTCATCAGGGATACTGTTCCTGACAGCTTGTAGTCCATCCTCACGTGGAATATTGGTGTAAAGCGCTTCTACATCCATGGTGGCCCGGATGGTGTTTTCAGGAAGAACAGCAATGCATTGTAGTTTCCTCGGAAGTCGGTGGTGTCTCGAAGATAGCTGGGAGTCCTGATAGCGTAGGGTCTGAGGAGAGAGTCCAAATAGCCAGATAATGCTGCTGTAAGAGTGCCAATGCCTGAGATGATGGAACGTCCAAGGTTTCCAGGTTTATGGATCTTGGATAGCAGATAGAATAGCCCTGGTTGGGGCTCTGGGGATGTCCCCGTGTAGATTTGTTCCCATACTGTAGCCGGGAGTTTCTTGAGCAGATGGTGTAGTTTTTTAGTATTCCTCAGTGGGATCAGAGGATAGTGGCCTGTAGAATGTGGTCTTGGAGAGTTGCCTCGCAGCCTCCTGCTCATAATCCGACCTGTTCATTATGACTACAGCACCTCCTTTGTCAGCCCCCTTGATTATAATGTCAGAGTTGTTTCTGAGGCTGTGGATGGCATTGCATTCTGTATGGCTGAGGTTCTGGGGCAAGCGATGTTGTTTGTTCAAATTTCAGCCTGTGCACATCTGCGGAAGCACTCTATGTAGAGGTCCAGTCTGTCATTTCGACCGTCAGTAGGAATCCACGCAGAGTTCTTGTTCTTGTAGTGTTGGTAGGAGGGTTCCTGTGGGCTAGTGCTCTGTTCAGTGGTGCATTGAAAATATTCCTTGAGTCAAGAGACGACGAAAGTAGGCTTCCAGTTCACTGCAAAACTGTATCATGTTTGTGGGGATGGTGGGACAGAAAGAGTCCCCGAGATAGGACAGACTCTTCTGACGGGCTAAGTGTGTGGTTGGATGGACTAATAATATTGTTAGGTGAGTTGAGGGTGCCATTGTTCTAGCCCCCTGTGGGAGGTAGGAGTTTAGATAGTTTACTGTCTTACTTTTTCCTCTGTAGAGAAATGAAGTGTGTATTGTAAACGGCTTGTCTCATTTTTGTCAAGTCCAGCCATGTGGAAGTTTGTGTGGAAGGTTGGTTTTGTATGAGAGTCTCCAGTTTTGAGAGCTCATTCTTGATCTTCTCCTGTCTGCTGTACAAGATGCTGATCAGGTGGTTCCTCAGGCCTCTCCCCTGTGTGGATTCTCTGATGTTTAGAAAGGCCTGAGCTCCTAATGAAACTTTTCCCACACTCATGGCATTTGTAGGGCCTCTCCCCAGTGTGGATTCTCCAATGCTGAAAAAGGCCTGATCTTTGAGTGAAGGTTTTCCCACACTCATTGCATACATAGGGCCTCTCGCTTGTGTGGATTCCCTGATGTGCAGAAAGGGCTGAGCTGGTAATGAAGGTTTTCCCACACTCACTGCATTCATAGGGCCTCTCTCCTGTGTGGATTCTCTGATGCGCAGTAAGGTGAGAGCTGTGAGTGAAGCTTTTCCCACACTCAGGGCATTCATAGGGCCTCTCCCCTGTGTGGATTCTCTGATGTTTAGAAAGGGCTGAGCTCTGAGTGAAGCTTTTCCCACACTCACTGCATTCATAGGGCCTCTCCCCTGTGTGGATTCTCTGATGTGCAGAAAGGGCTGAGCTGCTAATGAAGTTTTTCCCACACTCACTGCATTCATAGGGCCTCTCCCCTGTGTGGATTCTCTGATGGCGAAAAAGGACTGATCTGTCAGTGAAGTTTTTCCCACACTCACGGCATTCATAGGGCCTCTCCCCTGTGTGGATTCTCTGATGTTTAGAAAGGTCAGAGTTGCTAGTGAAGTTTTTCCCACACTCACTGCATTCATAGGGCCTCTCTCCTGTGTGGATTCTCTGATGTTTAGAAAGGACTGAGCTGCTAATGAAACTTTTCCCCACACTCATGGCATTTGTAGGGCCTCTCCCCTGTGTGGATTCTCTGATGTTTAGAAAGGGCTGAGCTCTGAGTGAAGCTTTT